AACTACAACATGGAAAATCATTAATCAAGGAGTTCTCAAGTAATTTTGATAACTTGTCCCTGCATTGGAAACAATAAATGAGTATGTAGATGGTAAGATTCATATCTAGTGGAATATGATTTTATAGATTCAAATAGAGTAACATAAATAGTTTGAGGTGCACTTTCTTACTCCGTACGTACACAACACCTTGAGAGAATTCAAATGTTGGTTTTGTATGACGGATTTTTCTGTACACTTGTAGGAAATAAGTAATGACAGTTTAAAAGTGAGCCATACAATTGTACGACTTTTACTCAGCTATACACAAAATAAAGAAATGTATTTGATAAATATGTATTAGTCTTCTGAAATGAGTTAGGACAGTAATTGGTCATAAATTGATACATCAAACCTGACAAATATTCGTCATTCGCATAAGCTACTGAAAATGAGAAGGCTTCAGAAACCGAAAGTTAAATACATGGATTTCAGGTGTGTATTATATCTCCTATAAAACTGTGTTCGGTCTGGTGCAAATTCGTCTAGTATAAATAGCAATTTTGTGTTCACTGACGCATCCGCTATCTCAAATTTGATATTAAATATATTGTGCCTTTGATAATGTTGTGTTACTACAGATGCGTGTATAACGACTTCAGTTTGAACCCCCAAAATCATTACAGACATATAGAACTATGAACCAAAGTGGTCAGAATTCATGAAAGTGAATTATTAATTCATCTAATTCATCACATTTTTTTTATAAAATTGATATCATATTATTATTTAAAAGACCAAACATGGTCCAAAGTTACAGTAGGTAAGCAAGTATCATGTGCCAGTTTTAGAGCTCTATAATTATCTCAGAACAAAATTGCTACTACTAATTTCTTGTTCTGTCTAATACAAATATAACTGAAGTTTTTCCCTAAAAAAAAGCTCCTTCCTATGCTGCATAAACACATGAAAATCGGCCTGCTGCTATGTACCTAATTCAGTCATATCATCAACTGTCATTTCCACATACATTCCACTCTATTCTATATCCTCCTTTCTTGTTCTTGTGTGTTTCGTTACCTATATTAATCAAGAGTTTCATACAGAATGGAAGTGAATAGATAAAAGAAATTCAATGATAATAATGGAGCTAGATTAATGATTGTATTAGTAACCAATATTTCAATTTAGGCACTGAGATTGAAAAGCCTCCAAACATATCAAAAGCAAACAAAAGAAACCACTCTGCATGTTTATTGTTTCATTGCTTCCACCATGTTCAGTGGGCATCATCACTCATTTGTCTTATACATAATATGTAATGAATGGCAGGCCTGATAAAAACTCCATCAGTTGCACTATAGTATAAAAATGGGTTAATATATTTGTATTACTCGCAGTTTTCACAAATTAAACATTTTGGTCAATCTTTTAAATCTATAACTTTTTGGCCTCAATTATGCATCAAAGTTACGAAATTGGTCAAACCCGAAATTTGACCGTTATCTTGGACCATCAAACGCGCCCCGTCACTGCCAAGTTAGCATAGACCACTTATAAAAAACTTGGTTTTTTACACCTATTATCATTTAAAATTTTTGGGACCTGACATTTTGAAATTTATCTTCCTTTTCTTTTCTTCTTTTGTTCAAAAATAATAAAAAAATAAAAAGTAATAGGTGGAAAAAACCAAAAAATTTAAGTGGTCTGTTCTGATTTGGCAGTGACGTGGAGAGTTGACCATTAGTCAACGTGTTTGACCATCCAAGATAACGATCAAATCTCGAATTTGACCAATTTCGTAATTTTGATACATAGTTGAGGCCACAAAGTTATAGATCGAAAATATTGGTCAGAATGTTTATTTTGTGAAAAGTTCGAGGCCATACAAATATACTAACTCTATAAAAATCACAAAATTAAATGACTTGAACCAATTGACAGGCAACTCAATGTAATTAGATGAATTATGAGGGGGAAAAACTCAGGTAAAGGTATGGTCCGAAGCGGCAATCATAATGGGGTGGATTCTCAAGTTGAGACTGGGTTTTTGTGTGATGTGTAGTCGAGGGGGGTGGGGAGCCCAGATGTTGTAACTAACGTAAAGTGGAAAATCAAAGAAGCTGGGGTGGGTTAGCAAGGCAGAGTGGAGGAGAGGAGTTACGGTGCTAATTGTACAATAGTTAGCACCGTCCTAACCAAGGGAAAAACTACTACTAGTTTGAATTAGTAGTGATTTAGCTTAGATGTTGTATTGATTTTATAATAATCCGTAGTGATTTCGTTATTTTTAGTAGCGTTTTTTGCTAGTTATCACGGGCTAACCCCTATAAGGGTTAGCACCTAATCCCATCCCAGAGTGGAGTGTGCAATCGACAGATTGACGTGAAGAAGCTATCGAGTGAAGGAAGTGGAGGGGAGGCAAGTGGGAATGGTAAAAAAAAACAAAGAACTAATTTTTAGCCTGGAATGTGCAAAACGGCGTGCTGAGTTTGCAGATGCGAAATGGTGTGTATAATTTTAATTGGTGGAAGTTCCTTTTATACCCTTCCGACAAATGCTCCCGAGACTGGAATTTTCAAATAGAGTTTTTGGGAAGCTTTAAAATGTACTAGCGTTGGGCCCCAGCCATTTGGTCGGAGGAAGGGGAGGTATGAAATTTGATAATGTAATGGGGTGTGTAGCTTATTGTTGTATAGTTTTTTTTTGGGAAACACGTGATGAAAATAGTTATTTTTAATAGGAAAGAGACATGAATGATGCAAAGAATCAAAAATCAGCCTTATGAACCAAAATCAAGTACCTGTTACCTTGTGAAACAATATTGTTTCTGGTAATATGATGAGGTGGAGTAAGTTTTATAGAAACCTAATTCCAGAAAATCGAATAAAAAATCGCCTATCCCGCCGGTTTTCGGGAAATGAGCATCATTGTGCTTTCTGGTTTTTTTCCAAGCCATGATAAAATCTAGAATGAACAACACGATTTGGGATAGGAACACTATTCCTATATCCCTAGAAAATGGTGGTAAACACAGACTCACTTGCCAAACTAGTTTGGATTGAGATTTTTATCGGGTATCAGGGAACCATGTGATTATAAATTAGACTTGATCAAAACGGGCAAAACTTGAAATTCAGCCTGTTTGACCGACCCATGCCAAACTCTAATTATTCTTTACTTTTAAACTTTCTATTTGAAAATAAAAAATAATGAAAGAAAAGAGATGACTGCAATTCGCCATTTGCACATCACTGATTCGGGAATAAAACTATAGAATTTCGAAAGGAAACTGAAAATGTTTAGGATTGTTTTAATGTTAAAAATAACCAAATAGATCTTTCTGTTTAATTTTTTACTAACAAATACCAAACGATTCTCTATAATATACACTATAATTTAATCATTATGATATTAAATAATTACATAATATATATTTGAAATGATAAAACTTGGACTAATTGGGTTGGTCGAGGTTGAACCATTGAATAACTTTAAAATACATTATGTTTTAGCCACTAAGATATAAATAATAGCATAATATATATTATGCTAGAGAAAATAGCTTGTTTTAGAATGACAAACCCATGATGTTATTTGTTTTACTTGATGGGCAAATCCCGTGCTAGTCAGGCCCATTCAACTCTTTTATTGTATGATTAGCGGTTAACTCATTAGAATCCATGCATTAGTTTATTGTTAAATTTTTTTCTTTTTAGCAATAAAAAAGAGTATTATTTTTGCCTTTTCGTATATATTTTACCACCACGGAGAAATAAAAGGACTTAAAGAAAAAAAGTGACACTCCTGGACCCGTTTAAATCCGCATGTGTACGGTAAGTTGGCCCGTTCCACAGAGGAAAAAGAAAAAAATTGACACTCCCTATTCTACCCTTCCCACAAACGCTCATGGAGCAGAGAATTTGAAATGCTGGAAGAGTTTTTTCCTCTCTGCGATTATATGTTTTTAATTTAAAAAAATACAACAAATGTACTTAGTGTGATTTTTTATGATCTTTGTTTTTCTTTAAAGTGGTCATGGTTCGAATCCTAGTAAGTGTCTTTTTAATGAATAAAAAAGAGTAATTGTGAAGACCAAAATGTTCTTCCTACTTTCACTCTGAATGCAGAAAATTTGAAATGGAGCTTCAAGTTTTCTCATTTAGCTTTTATTTATTGTGTAGATTATATATGTTCTAGATAGACTAGATTCCATTGCTAAATGACATGATGAAAAACAAAAAGAAAGAAAATAATAGCAAAAGGGAAATATTACTAGAAAATAATGAAAATAGAGAAAATGTAAACTACACTAAAATGATGCATAATATGCACTGTACATACAATTGTTGTGCTCTTTATTATCACCTTCATTATTTGTGCATATTATGGAATTAAGATAATAATATTGAATTAAGAAGCAAAGCTTCATAATTTTTTTTATGATGGTGATAATGAATTGAAAAGCCGGAAAAATTAATGGTAAGATATTTTGTGTTAAAATCGTGGTTGAATCATAATTCAACTATTTTATACCAATAAATCTGCTTACCGTTTTGGAGTTGGTATTCGGTATTTCCAGTTTTACTGGCCACTACGATAGGTTCTTAAACCATGTTTTTTTGCAGTAATTGAGACAAATTGGTTTTTAATAGCCAAACTTCGATAAGAAGATGAAACGCTACTGAAGCCTGGAAGTAGTATGTTTCTATGATGACTTGCAATAAGATTTAGAGGAGAGGGAAAATGTAAAGGAAATTAATATAACTGCCGCCAGTATGCAATGAGATAGAAACTTGGGTCGTAACTCGAAAGGCCTATTTATCAGTCCACTAATTTATGACGAACTATAATTTCTTAATTCACTTCCATTAATAAAAATATTTCATATGAATTAATAGAAAGAAGCATAGGTAGAGTGATCCTCAATTTATATTTGAGTGCTTTTAGTGAAAAACGTGCATTCCAAATTTAGGGTTTTTATAAAGAGTATATAAATTCCAACCTCAACTTAATTAAGCTATAATAAAACATGAATGATCAAATTAAAATGTTGACATTATTAATTTAGCTGAAGATGATACTAACAAATATACGCGTATGATAAAAAAAAAATTAAAAAAACAATGTCGGCCAAGGGGTCGGGCAGCAGCTAGTTGTTTTTAACGGAAATGGCTAAATTTGTCATACTAGTTTCAAAAGTTTGACTATATCTGTGTATTTTTTCAAAAATTGGCTATTGTTGTTACAAAGTGCATATTTATGATTATACAAGTGTATTTTTTTTCTTTCGTTCATTTTGCTTTCTATGCCAAATAAGGCGAGTAAATTGTGCAACGATCCAGTTCAATATGGAACTAGATTGAACATGAATAGAGCTAGTTCAACCGTAAAGGAAATTTGAGAATCAGAATCAAACTATAAGTGATTTATATTACATTTACTCCAATTTAAAAATTGATTCAGTATTTTCTATAATTATTTATAAAAATTCATGAAACCAAGAGTTGACCACTCGGTTTGATTTGATTCATGGCGGACCAAACCTTTATAAATGATTGTTTGTTTTTTTGGTAAGGATCTGAGATTGTTTTTGCATTTACACATTCCAATTTCCAAACCTAAAACTGGATCTTAAATAAATGAAGATTACAATATGACATTGGCCCATTTAGGCCCACATCCATCCAATTGTCTATCGGACTTTCCGTCGCCTATTCCCGCCGGGAAGAATTCCCGATTGGCTAACGTCGAGTCGCGGGTTGTCTTTTCTCGATTCAGTTCAATTCCGTGACTCCGACTCGTCGCCGAACATGTAAAACAAAATAAAACGAAAAATAAATTATTCGGGAAGAAAAAGAATCAAAACTAAAAAAACGAAAAAAACGAACGCCGTAACGAGAAGGAAAGGCAAGCAGAGATCTGTTTGTTCTCCGAGAAACGAAGAGAGAGAATACAGAGCGCGAGAGAGGAGATTAGGCAAGTTAAGGGAAGGAAAGATGATGTCCGGAAACTACCATCACATTGACAATCAGAAGGTCTCAGGATCTGTAGCTGTAAGTAAAAAACTCTTCTTCACTCCTACCTTTCAGAGTTCTGGCGGATATCCAATTCGTTTCGTAATTCACAGTACCAGATCTGATAAGCTAGCGTTGTGTTTTCTTATTTTTTCCAATCTGATTCCTCTTTAGGCGGTTACCGATCCAGGGCACATTCCAGTTCAGTTCGCAGGTAAATTTTTCATTCCGATTTCGTTTCTGAATCGGCGGTGGCGGGAAAATTTATTAGATATGCGGGGAGGTTGAATCGGGTTGGTGATGAATCTGGGTACGGAATTGGGGGCTGGTAGAGTGGTTAAGTGAGATTGTTTCCTTCTGTTTCTGTGTTCTTCGGCCATTTGATTGTAATGTTTGATGTGTAGAGTCGAATCTGCAAACTTTTCCGCCCTCTGGCGCTCAGGGCAAGATCAGTGGTGCATCCAGGCCTCCCCGCGATGCTGATGGTAAGTCTTTGTTGAAGTTCTGCTTGAGTAGGGATTCTGAACGAAATTTGTGGATTTTGAACTAGAACTGGAAATTTTCAATGGAGTTGTACATATAATATTTGAGAAGGGTTTCTGTTGGGGCAAATCCTTTCCAAGGAAAAGGGAGGTCATGTGTCTGTGAAGCACCAATCATGCTGAGAGTAACTCAGAAATTCGTGGTTCACCCAAACTTGAGGGCTTTGAATTAGAACTGGAATTAGTTTGCTTTGTCGCTGTGCATGCTCTCTAGTTTTTCACATAGCATTTGACAGATTGCTTCAAGTTGGGATTCTGTAATACCAATGAGTAGGAGGGGGCAAATGATGCTTAGGAGAAGTAATGTCTTTGACAATTTCTTCTTTGTAATTACTCAGGAGGAGATTACGTGGATAATCATAGCTGCTAGTTGCTTATTTCCTCTTATGATCTCCAGATCAAGCCTGTTGGCGACATGAAACTTGCTTCCTTTTGAGTTTCTTGGGTAGTTGATATTTATATGGAATGAGTGAATTGTAGTATGATGGAGTTTGTTCTATCATATTGTCGTGCTTGCTGAATGACTGTCTACATTTGCAGATTCATTTTCAAAACCGGTCAATGGTACCGAGGAACCACAACAGCCAGGTGGCTGGCTTCGGGCATTCTCAGTTGCTTCATACAAGCCATACTTTGACGTTGACACTGTAGATGTTCTAGAGAGAATCAAAGATTCACTATTCCCATTCAATGGTTCCTTCAACGAGAAAACAACTAACAACCCAGATTTGTGAGTCATCTCTCACTACTCTGTTTCTCCGACATCAAAGCTTTCCTATGCTTAAGTCAATACCTTGCTTGCAACGTTCCAATGTTGAAGATCAGATGTCTCTTATGTGATTAGCTGGCAAAAACTTACTCATGTCCCTGTAACTTCCTCTTGTGCAGGTATGGACCATTCTGGATATGCACTACCCTAATTTTCGTAGCAGCTTCAATTGGAACTTTTGTGACTTATGTAGCACACAAGGTTGAGAAGAAAGAATGGAACTATGATATAAATGTCGTGACTTGGTCTGCTGGTTTGTTCTATGGATATGTAACTCTTGTTCCTCTCGCTTTGTACGTGATCCTCAAGTACTTCTCAGCGCCATCAGGCCTGGTCCAGCTCTTCTGTCTCTATGGCTACTCTTTATTCATCTTCATCCCAACACTGGTGAGTAAAAAAAAAAAAAAAAAATTCTCATTGGACAAGTTGGTACCTATTGGGCAAGTTGTCAACTGAAACAAAAAGTACAAGTAGAGGTGCATGAAAAAATTACTTAATAACCAAATGGATTGTGAAATGATTAGGTGGTAATACAATTCGTCAAGACTTTTTGGATACATATTACTAAAATATGTGATTTATGTGTTAAATGACTAAATTTTCCCTTGGTTTATGGAAGTTTAATAGGAAAGAAAGCGTAGAATTATCAGTTTAGAGAAGATATCCGGCTGATGTCTCTCATGTTCTGTCAGTGTCTCTCGATTGTGCCCTTGGAGATCTTCCGGTGGATAGTTGCAGGTGTCGCAGGTTTCATGTCAGCATCATTCGTCGCACTGAACCTCCGAGCCCACATCATGTCGGCAGGGGAGAGGTGGTTCTTGATCGTTGCAGGGATCTTTCTGCTGCAGCTAGCGCTGTCCGTCGTGTTGAAGATGTATCTATTCACCGTGACGTTTTAACATCAGAGCTTAACTCATCATCATCATCACCGTCCCTCAGTTCTTTATTTGAGGCACATGGAGAACTATAAGCTGTAGATTATAGGAAAAAAGAAAAGAGTTTCCGTTTTTGGGTAACAATATGTTAGCTTTGATATGATTCATATACAAGTACATGATTACATTGTTCGAAATATCGTAGTACCCTCTATGAATTTCCACTATTTTGCTTTGGGTGGGTGTATTATTCATACTTGATTGAAAAATTTAACTTCCTATTCCTCAGTTTTCTACTGTTCTTGAGTGAGACAAATCTCAAAGGGATAAAATGACGAGATGATGAAGAAGAGCAGAGGGAGAAGGAAACCAAGAACAGTCATAACCAAGTGCAAAAGAAGAAACCAAATGTACAGGAAACTAGACGAAACATCTTCACCTAGCTAAACCCCTTACCCATAACAACAATGCACAAGATAAAGATACCTTTCTAGCAGAAATGCAAAATAGTGCAGGAAAAAAGAAAACCTAGTTACTTCCACTTAACTTCCAAGTGTAAAACCTCCTCCAATCACTGGGAGCCTAAAAGGCCACAGAAAAGTAGACAGAAAGTATTGGGTTTTGATACCTCTGAACATTCAGCAATTGGTTAATTGTGTATGTTTGACACATGTGTATCGATTGTGTTAAATGATTTGCGATTTGTTGAGAGAATCGCAATTTAGTTCAGTATATTTAAATCGAGACAATCAAATGTTAAGGATAGCAATTATTATGGACAATCTACCTAAATAATTTGTACTCATTAACCATAGAAATGTGTTAGCTATCATACCCCTAATGCGCAGTTCTTTTTACAACAGAACAGCTGTGTTCATTTCACAAAAGTGACTTGCACCAAAAATTACAGTAGGTATGACAGAGGTCAAGCACAGTTAGTGATGGCAATTTCAACCTGTCCGCGGGTATTACCCGACCCGATCCGTGATGGGGCGGGTATTACCCGATCCGCAGTAATGTGGGGCGGGGCATGGGTATCTACTTCCGACCCGCCCTGCCCCACCCCGCTTTGTTTTAGACTCATTTTATCTCAATTTTTTACAATATCTATACATATTTCTCCTATTTTGACTTTTCTTCAACTAGTTAGATTCGATCTTTCAACTTGTTAGGCTCAATTATCCATTCTATTATCAATATTTTTCATTCTTAAACTGTTTTCCCCTACGTTTTATTGTAAAAAGTAAAATTTACTGTTATTTTTTTTTTTTTGAACAACATGTAAGAGTGGGTCGACCCGCCCCGCCCCGTACCCACGCGGGTTTTACCCGCCCCGATCCGTAGTAGCGTGGGCCAGGACATGGGAATTGAGGTACCCGCCCTGCCCCTACATGCAATCCTTGATTCAGACTGCAATTTCTTGTGCCGACAATAAGCCATCGCCTCAAAGTTCAAGATCTCCCCCAATTACTTGATTCTCTTCTAGATGGAGAGACTTGGGCATGTTTTCAGCTTTCTCCATCAACCAGCCATCGATTCCTTCTCCTTCATCAAATCAATTGTCATCACCATTGACAGTTTTTGTTCTCCTCTTATTCTATGAATCAAGTTCACGAATTTCTCACGAAAATTCGCGCTCCGACAAACAAAAATTCGCGAATTTTGTTCTAATTTTCTTAAATTCGCGTTTACCCGCTCTAAAGCGTAAGCGCCAACCCCTGATGGGAAAATTGTGTGACCTAAATCCAATCTTGGGGAAGAATGTTTTAAGCACACGAACGTGCCACTCAATCCACTCTTACATTCTTCTTACGCCTGGAAAATTATACCTTAATATGGGGTGATCTTTGTAGGATGTCAACCATTGAACCTAGTCATGCTGCTACTTTCCACGGCCAGAAATAGGCACGAGTATGAAATTTATTACTTTCACCTCTTACTCTCACAACTACCATGAAAATGTTCCATGAGAAGAGGATGATAGTAGCTATAGTCTTGAAAACATGGAACCTTAGGCGGTTTCAGGAGTTCCTCACCAACAAAAACCAAGTTCGGCTCGAAAAGCGTGAAAACGACATGCGAAACGCAATTGTAGGTATGTTTGACGACATATTTGAAAAATCTCATTATGAATTCAAGAATGCCTATCCAGTAGGAATGACGATAAAATTCGAATCCACGAGTTCCAAATTCTCACTCCTCAGTCGTCGCCTTCGACTAGAAGAAGAACCATCTGGAGCCTCAAAGCAAGGTGAGAGAATAGTTTGATCACAAACTATTGCACCACTAATCAGGGCTTAGTTTTTAGTTTGCATTGCTTTTCCAAGTAAATTTATGAATAAATGGTATCATACACTTATTGTAGTGAATTTTTCTTCTTTATTATAACTATACTGATAAGTTTTTCCTTTTTAATGGTTGTGCCATTTTTCTTTACTTGCCCTTGATAATTATAATATTACAATAAGGAATCTGTTGGGCATAACAAAAATATGGTGAGATTTAGGAGGATAGAAAAATGGTATCGGCTCTGATACCAAATTTATTGGGCACAACGAAAGTATATAGTGGATTTAGGATCGAGAATATTAGAGAAAATTATTTCACTCCAATATTTTTAAAAGAACAATATTACAATAGGCAATTTTTACCTTTTACATTAAGAGTTGCTGCTTTATATATATTGTCTGCTTCTACCCTTAAAAACTCAACTCTCATATTCTCCCACATATTTGAATTAGGCAAGTTTATTGCCTTAACCCATTTGAGGAGCTTACTAGCTTTCTGATCTCTCATGCTTCTTCCATGCCTCCAAATGAGGCCTATTTATAGTTCCATTTTCATGGCCATTACATTACAAAGATCAAGATATTTTCTTGTAGTAAGTTTAGTATGTGGTTTGAATTTTTTTCATTATTTTAGTTTAATAATTGAGGTAGTTGGCTGGAGATGATATTTTGGTGCTGCATTCTAGATTGGCCTAGAATTGCATATTAACTTCTCACAGAATCTCACAATATAACCTTTTTTTATGGTTGTGCCATTTTTCTTTATTTTCCGTTGACATGTCCTTGCCAACTTATGGAGGAGTGTCAGCGCATACAACTTGGGGAAGAAGAGGAAGATGTAAGCTGCAAGTCTAATAAAGGAAGAAGTTGAGTATGCAAAAGGGAACTATCCATATCTCCCTTGGTGGAAAGTGACGAAGGTGGACCTTAACTGGGCAAATTAAAGTAAGAGTCATCCAATGGTTCGGTGATGCATTATAGCTCCAATGCATTGAGAGAATGATTATATACATTATTCTGCTTCTCAAATTCATATTAAAAATACTAAATTTGATTTTTTTTTATTTGGGAAACCTAAACTCTTATTAATCAATGGTAGTTGCTACATCATCCATTGCTAACTGATCAATCAAAAAATATGGTGAACTATCAAACCACACAACTCTCTCTTCCTAATTAGTAACCGCTCTAGCCATGATATGGGCTGAACCATTCGCTTATCTACAAATATGCATGCACTTACCAACTCCCCGCCTAGTGAGACTTCTCCAAATGTTCATGCAAATCACACCTACTTCTGTATGGTCCCGGTTCGGGTGCTGCACCTTTGTAATCATCTTCAAGCAGTCACTCTCGAGGATTGGCCTGTCCACTTTCAGGCTCGCCATCATTTGCATACCCAGCTCCCGGCAAGTGCTTCTGCCATCTCGACGCTGAAGGTTCCCTTCATCCGCTTTGCTACAGCAAGCACAAACTTCCCGTGATTGTCCCTTATCACGACTCCGATACCGATGCCCCCCTAACTTAGCATTGTCGCGGCTGCCCCTTATCACTATTATTCATGTAATAAATTGAAAGACATCGTACACATTTATAGCAAAACCGGAAAATCTAATCACTTACCAATCCAACAAGGACATGGTAACTTACTCCCAAAGAAACTAGCATAATAATGAATATGATTCCTAAACAATAACTAAAATCAAAGTAAACCTATATATATCATCCTTATAAAAAATCCAATTTTGTATATTTCTTATTTTAAAAAATACGTGTCAATAACATAACATCTACATGGATGCCACATTTTCGCCACATCATACTCAAACATATGTTTCTTTTGAAGACAATTTTTAATTAATAAAAATCATTAAAAAGAAATATGTTCTAATCTCAACTAATGAAAATAAGTTAGAATCCCCATCCTCAGTAACATGCCATTCCTCACCGGTGAACAAAATAAAATTTAGTTAAAGAGAGCTACTCATACATTGACCCTACTTCTAGTCCTAATTTGCAGAGAAATTCGTCGGCCTGATTGACTCGCGTAGAAGAAGAAGGGAAGGAAGAAGTATTAGGCACATACGACAGAGCTCCCAAGCCATCTAGGTATTGGTGGATAATTTGAGAAACTCGATACACAAGATTTATTAAGAAATGTAAAGTTCATGAGACAGTCTTGAAAATAAGAAAGAAGAAAAATACTATCGAGGCCAGAACTCGAGGAACCAACAACCAGATCATTAACTTAGAATGAAGCTACATAGAATGGGAACCAACCAAACAAAGGTCTATACAAAGTAAAAATATTTCTAAGACTCCATAATTAAATACGAGCACCCATGACCCATTAAATGGGTACACCACCCAGCCAAGGGGACTATAACTTGTCGATATTAGATAATCTACGAGCAACAAGAGATAGAACTCCAACATGCATTATCATTTTTTTGTATAAACATGCTAAATATAATAAAAAGATGAATGTAATGTATGTTGTTATATAACCATAAGTATTGTTAGTCTCCATCAAAGTAACCTGAGATTTTCAATATTTGCTATGATCTTTTTGTTCGTTTGCTTCATTGTGTGTTATTTTGTGGACTCTGAAAGGAAAGAGCACAATAATCTTAGTTATCTTCATTAGACATTGAATTATATAGATGACCAACAATTGTGTTAATACCATAGTAAAATATTGTGAGTGCACCTCTTATTTGTTTACTTTCACTACTATAAGTAACATTTTTGTAGGTAGAGGAGTACTTTGGTGACTTTCTCCCACATATATTTATGATCAATTCATTTTCGTTGGGTATGGATTGAAGATGACTTCTCTTCTCTAAAAAGATTGCTCAAATTCTATCAAAAGATAGTGGGAGTATGGATTGATTTTATGTGTGGAGAATCTCATATGTAAACATATATTTTCTTGGGGTAGGTTTGATACTGAACTTACATACCTAATGATGAGTTTACAAGGGTATTAAGGTAACTCTTTTCAACTTATGTTTTGTAAATAACATTGTGAAATGATTGTATGTTGTCTGGCATAACAAGAAACCTATTAAACAAAAATTTATGGCCGTTTTACAATTTCTAACTATTTCCGTTATGAATATACTACTTTCAAAGATGTCGAATACGACTATATGTCCCCGCAGTGTAGTCGTGGGTATTGATTCTATTATCAATTAAATCTATATGGCTGAAAGTTATAATTGAAGAACTTACCCAGATTTTTTTCACGGTACAAAACCCCGTAAATCATCAATAAAAATGCACCGGCGAAACCCAAAATAGCGTTGCCAACGAACAATTCCTTAACATCCTCCGGTCGACGAAGGACCCTCTAAAATTTTTAACCCAAAACAACAAAAGGGAATGTTAGGAAGTTGTTTATAATAATTCGTACTTATCATAACATAGTGGTTGAAAAATAATATAGGATACTAACCATGTCCACCACAGTGGTCACCAACGTAAGAAAGGAGGATGCAACTACTGCATCCCCCAAGAAAGCGTGTCGCTCCTGGTGTGTCTCGTGACATTGAAATGTCACGAGCACTATCACTGTATCAATACTCACGAAGCTCAACCATAAGACGAGAATCAGCAACTTCTGTCGCTTGTTCTTCAACTTGTATATCAGTGTGAGGGTGACAGCAGAATATGCTGCAATCGAGAAGGCAGATAGTACCATGAATGGTATATCGTCTCGATTTGTGGCGGGAATTGTGAACCTACAATCAGAGTAGAAAAAAAAAATTAGAGTGAAGCTTGATATGGCAATGAAGAAAAGGAGCTGCAAAATCAACCATCATTCAAATGTGCAAAATACAGAAGGTGTTAAGAGCAGCACGACAATGAAGAAAAGGAGCTGCAAAATGGAGCCTCGCAGAATTCATGGTACCCCATAATCAATAAACTTGAATCACCATTATCACAAAATAATCAAACCAGAAATAAAATGAAGTATTAATATATTTCTTACCATATGATATCTGAGAGCATTGAGTAACCTACACTTGACCTAGTTCTGACGACGTATGGTAGTCTCTATCACGCTGGTGTACCGTCCCTTATAGTACTTGCTGAACATATGCAAGATGATGAGGTGCATCGCAGTGTTGATCGCCTGCCGGGTTTGCAATTACGTCCAATTTAGTGATGAGTAAAATTTTAACAGTATATAACATAAATAACACAAGTTGGCGATCTTTTAGTATTTGTTTTCCCTTCCAAATCAAACTTCGGTGGAGGTATTCCATGCTCTAAAATCGTCGATCAGACCTCACTTCTCCTATTCCACGCCCTCTACTCTCTCTTTTTCAACTCTTATTCGGGTTCTTATACATTCATGTACTTTATTTTCCTGCCAGGATTAGGAACTAGAGGGGGGGGGGGGGGCATTTTAAAAGATCTAAACATATGCTATTAAATTAAAAAAATTTGCCACTACATGTTTAAAATAAAATAGTAAATGGCCAGGAAAAAATTAATCATTCTTTTTCAGTTTGTACCATGTTATTCGTTGTTATTATAACTGAACAATAAGTGTATATCCATATTAGTATTTGAAAAATATATATTCGTTATATATTTAGATTTATTCTTAACAATGCGAATTTATAAGCAATTAGGTTATCTAGTTTGAACTTTGAAGTTTGATGATCTAAAAAGATGAAGTATAAAAGTTAAGTAATTAGGTTAAGAAAAATAAATTCTTAAATTGTGAACTTATAAGTTCAAGTATTTTTTTTATCTAGTTTGAACTTTGAAATTAGAGGATCAAAGAAGATTGTACGAAAGTTAAGTAATTAGGTTGAATATTACAACAAAATTAAACTAAAATGAGAAAGAAAATATAAAATTTTTCTTGTTTGGGATTGAACACACGTAGGCACATACCACATGATAACATCAAGCCACCAGAGGCTAGGCCACTACAAATGAACTTATTGCACGGTCTTGTTATAATATCACTTATAATTTTTACATAATTTTCAGAAGACCTGTACATTTACGTGAGGATGTAACTACTTATTTGTTTCAATCAATATATTCGATTATCTTTGTAAAAAAATATACAGATACATTTACATGTGATCATCGAATCCTCAGGGGGTCGAGGCCCCCCGAGTCTTAAGCTAGCTCTGTCTCTAGTGACATATGTTTCATTCAAAGTGACAAACTAACACGGAAAATTCTTATTCCCTACCTTGGTTGAACGCAGAAAGCGCCTCCAACCAGTCACATGTTAGTTTCCTATTAGTGTTCGTAAAAAAATAGTTTCCTATTAGTGAGTTCATCATTCTTTTTTATATTTTAATTCTTGATTTATTTAGCATATTTAAGAACATTAAATATTAAGAAAAAAAAGGCGAGTACATCAATAACAAACTAATATTTGGATGGTTGGAGTTTCTGCGTCCAACCAAGGTTGGAGTTAAGAATTTTCCTGTACTGAGTCTAGTAGTAACTATCTCTTTATTTATTTCTGCAAGACATTATCATGTAAACTTAAATTGGTGGAATAAGACAGGGGTGGAGCTAGGTGGGGCCTCCCCCGCGCGAATTTCGACGTTACGTACAAAACCTCAAAAAATAATGGAAAATTACGTAATAAACTATATTATTTGTATAAGTTGACTTGGGTGCAAAATTGATGCAAGATAGTAAGGATGGTCGAGTGGCAGAGAATAGAGATGCATAGCTTGTTTCATTTGGGCGCAGGTTTGAATCCAATTTGTTGTATATTATCTTGTTATTTTGCTATTCCATAACCTTGAAACTTGTCTTTTTTCTTTAGTTGGTCAACTTGCCATTTTCATAGTGAACTAAACCAATAAAATTATCAATTCTTAAACTCTCATATTATAAGGGTTCCTTTTGATTATAGATTAATTTGTTTACCTTGATATTTAAAGGTATCTTCTGATTCCTTTTGATTATAGATTAATTTGTTTACCTTGATATTTAAAGGTATCTTCTGATTGTAGAATTAATTTTGTACAATAATATTAACAGACATTCATTTTCATTTATGAAAAATTAAACAAAACATGTTACATATTGAAGCGAATTATTAATTTTTTGTTCGTTGTTTAATTGCTCTATTAATATGGATTTAACTGTTTTAACCATGTCAACTTTCATATTTTCTTTTACAAGTCCTATATTATATACTAAAAATTTTAAACATTTTATTTTTCCGTGATGATAAACCAAATAACTCCCCCCCCCCTCCCGAGACTCAAATCCTAGCTCCGCCCCTGAATAAGATAGACTAGATAATTGGCCTGCATTTTGCGACAGGTTACTGCACGATTCCATTACAGTTGAAGATGAATCTTATTCGAAATCAAAATGAAAAAAATATGTATCCAAACAAAATTATAAACATTATATTTAAATTGCAAATATTTGATAGATGCTTTCTTGTAGATTTGAATTGAACAACGATTTAGCTACTAACTTAATCCAAATATTTAGTTAGATCATTAAAATCATAGCATTGATAGAAAGACAAGACATGAGCACTGAAGTTATGGAGACTGTGCAGTAGTGTTTTAAACTTGGAGCTTCCTTTGTTTTGTAGACTTTTTTTAGTAGTATTATTAGGTGTAGAATCATGCCTTGATCATAATCAATCCACGTAAATTTTGGATCAAAGAAAAAATGTGAGAGAAGACAGAACTATTCACAACCGTTACAATTAAAACAATTACTAACATGGTGAAATGTTCCTCCATAAATAAAGTGCTCCAATCAAACATCTAAACATAATACACTAATACAGCTTGATAGTCGCACATGAACATATACAACAACTTACCAATTTACAACAACTATAACTCATGTGAAATCATATTGATGCAGAAAGGTCATATTACCGGATAAGACTTGAAGATGAATTAGAAAGAAATAGTTTTCGTCCAGCAGGTATTTAAAGTGATCCAAGGTGTGAGATATGTCAATATAACGATAAGCTAATTGAAAAATATATTTTATACTTTTGTTCAAAAGTTAGGCTCCAAATTGACTTTTTTTCATCATCAAACTAAAACTGACATATTAGTACAATGAAAAGCCCTTAAATCTTAATGAGTGAATAACTTCCAAAAATATTTATAAAAAAACTCGTACTTCAATAAGAACCAAGAATTATTCACCGAAAAATATATTACTGTAAGACATGAGAAATTTGTACTGGAGTTTGTATCGAAAAAGTCAACGGTAGAGTATTTTATGCTAAAACCATGGTTTAAT